CTCTGGAGAAGGAGATAAAAAGGGGGATTTGTAGAGTTATATTTGTATTTATTCATGTTAGCAAACTATGGATAAGCTGAAAATGGGAATAATTTGGGTAAAACTGTGAGCTGCATTTGGGGCCTGTTGACATGTGTTTTTGAGGACAAAGGAAGATGGGGGAAGGTGAGAGCATGTCCTGATTTGCATTCAACTTAGAACAAGCTACAGTGGTTGTGATATTAAGAGAGGTCCCTTGGGTTTCTCTGGTGCTTATCAATAGTAGCAGTTAAGTGAATACTGTTCAAACAATACCTGTGTTTGTGTTTTATATTGATTTCTCTGTTTTATCCTTTCATAAATGTAAGGACTACAAATGGCTATAAACATTCTGGGCTGGTTGGAGTAAACAGGGTTTTATTGCTCTGTGGGGGAGGTGTAGGTATGCAGGCCTTGAGACCTTTTGTTGTAAAGTGAGCCTGTTTGGTTTCCTGCTGGCCAGCGTTGCGTCTCCCAATGAGATGACCTGAAAAGATGACCAGCTGACCTAACACCAAACCCCTCCTTCTTACTCTGGTATATATCCGGAGGATCCCTGGCGTTCGGCCTCTTCTTCACATGCTGCCCTCGGGTGAAAGTAGCTCTGCAGTATGCGGACCAGGGCAGGAGTAAGCCGGCATTACTCCTTAAGCATTACAATATAACTGTAATATATCATGTTGTATTGTAATGATTGTATTGCATTGTCATATTGCCATTAAAGTAGATTATTGTTAACGGTTACTTTGTAGATATGGATTCCTTCCTGTATTATAACCAGCTTCATAGGAACGCGCGGAGATTTGAAAAGCGGATCAGATATCCCTTTAAATCTCCAACAAAATGTCTTCACGGCTGGACTGTTAGCACACATGTGAAGTTTGAGCACTTTTTGAACATTTTCATAGGAGTTATAGCGACATCGTCTTTTATGGCGAGGGATGCGTTTCCATGGAAACGGCATATGATGAAACCCCATAAATGACGTAGAGCTGTTGAGGGCTGGACCGTTAACCATTATCTGAAGTGTGGTGCTGTTTTGACCCTTTTCATAGGCGTTACGACAACATCGTGTTTTATGGCGAGGGATGCGTTTCCATCAAAACGGCATATGGTGAGATGTCAGATTTTGACATAGAGCTGTTGAGGCATGGAGATGTGGTATACAGGTGAAGATTGTGGGACGACCGAACCGTGTCCATTGGAGCTACAGCGACATCGTGTTTTATGGCGAGGGATGTGTTTCCATGGCAACAGCCTATGGTGAGATCTCAGATTTGGCGTAAAGCTGTTGAGGCATGGACCGGTGATATACAAGCGAAGTTTGGGGGACGATCGGACCGTGTCCATTGGAGTTACAGCGACATCGTGTTTTATGGCGAGGGATTTGTTTCCATGGAAACCGCATATGATGACACCCCATAATTGACGTAGAGCTGTTGAGGGCAGGACCATTAACCATTATCTGAAGTCTGCTGCTCTGAGCATGTCAGTTGGAGTTATGACATCATCGTGTTCCATGACACAGGTGTTTATATTTGAGCTAACGACTGTCCAGGTTTCCATGGTGATGTGCAGTAATCAGTGAGAGGAGAGCATTTTCATTGTTCCGAATGAGAGATAAACCTCTTACATGTGAACGTTTTGTTGAAGAACCGTAACAGATATCGGTGAAATTTCAAAGCGTGAAGCATGTCAAGGAACTTGAGCATCTGAAGTGTACTTTTTGTGTACTTTCGGGTTAACAATGTGGCCTTTTTTGTATGGGCTCAGAACAGTCTCATAATACACACGTGCACACAGAAGGATTCACACTTGTATTTCATGATCCGCAAAAGGATTCACACTTGTATTTCCGGATCCACACTTGTGTTTGTCAATGCACACACAAATCGCAATAAATCATACCCTCGTGGGGGCGCGCTCATGTGATTGGCTTAGAATGAAGGAGACATCTGATTGGCTATAGATAGAAAAAAGTACAAGTACGAATCGGGTGACCGTCAGGGGAGTCTCAAAAAACTTACACACGAATGCACAGCGATCCATGCACAGAAAGCGGTTTGTGTTTGCAAGTTCATTGCATGCTTTTCCGGTTATTACCCGTCTCCTTGTGTGTTATGAAGGTGTCCATGCATGTAAACAGTCTGCAAAGTCAAAACCCCTCAAAGTACACCCTGTAGGGAGTAAAACTCTAACACAGAAAAGACCTCCCCCAAAAGTCTCGTTGGAGATTTCTCAGTTTCCATTGTTTACTTCCTGCCCCGCGTGACGTAGCTGCACCGCGTGACGTCACTTCCTCTGCCAGCCGACCATATTAAGGTTGCGTTCCAATAGTCCATTTAGCTTAGGAACCTTCCTAACGGAGTGAAATGACCCGGAAGTCCCTCAGTGGCAGCCATGATAAGTGCCGTTCCAATTCTCCAAATGAAAGGAAAGGAGGTTTCAAACTTCCTTTATAACCTCCTTTGGCTTAGGAACCACTGGACCTCCCTTGCCGAAAGGAGAGGAGAAAATGCTGCCCCACAATGCATTGCAGCCGCAGCATTTGTCGTCACTCAACAGTCAGCCGTTCACGGAAACAACCGATTATGACCGAGAAATTATATCATGAAAGTTATGGTGCTTATTAAGCATTTTAAAACGTATGTGGTAAGTTGCCAAAGTGCTTTTTTCTGAACGTTCATCAGTATTATAATCAAAAAGAGAAATATGAACGTTAGTTTTTACTGAAATGATCAAATAAAGTCAACATCTCACAGTCTTTACTGAGCTGTGTGGAGTTTGTTCAACTTTTAAAAGATGTTTGAATGGTGATATACACAGTGATAGATGTTAAGGACTAACGTTTATAATAAATACATTTGTATTGATTTTAAGATATTTTCCTATTTCATACAATCATACGTATTGGGACCATTTGTATTAATGTGGACCGGAGGGAGAGGGTGATGAGCATAAGTTTCACTTTCCTTTTTTATTTCAATTCCAACTTTGGTCATGAAGAATATGTTTATCTGTTGTCCCGGTTCATAAAGCATAAAGCAACAGCATCAGAGCACGGTGCAGAGTCTCTAGATTAGTTTACAGTAGTCCCTCGTTCTTATTAAACATCCATGTTGTAGTCCGCTGTATAGAAAACTGTAGTTTCCCCACAGCAGCAGACGCACAAAATGACGTCCGCTGGCGCATCATAAACACGTCGGATAGTGAAAGTGCATTCGGATTCTCTAAAGTACCGCGGTCTCTTCTCCTAAGTCCTTTTGAATTCTCATATCCACTATCCCTTAACCCCGTGACGTTTCACTCAGAGGTCAAGGAATAGGAGATAGGGTTAGAATTTAGGAGCTGATTTTTGGATTATCGGAACGCAACCTAAGTGTCGTAAAACCTGCTTCTTTTCAAAGCTCTATCCAGTCATGTCGCGGAGGGTCTGTTGCCTGTCTTGTGTGGAGAAATCCACAATGTTTGCAGTACCGAAGGCAGAACCACGACGAAGTCAGTGGTTGACATTCCTTTTTAACACTGTTCCAGCTGATTTACCAGCTGGTACTGTTGTGTGTGCGCGGCATTTCACGGACCAAAGCTTTAAAAACGTAACAATGTTTAGCTTCGGACTTGCAAAGCTGATATTGGAGGACGATGCTGTTCCTACTTTGTTTGGACCAGCGGGAGATTCGGGTACACAACCTGTAAGTATTCATTGTGGTTTGTGTATTTATTCTGTTTAAAACAAACAATGTATCTACCACGACTGTGTAAATGCTAATGCTAATGCTATGCTACCGAGGTAAACACGAGGGCTAACGAGCATTCCCAGACCTCAACACCGATGTTAGCACATGGCCTTACATGTATCTCATAGCAGGAGAATATCTGCAAACACACACGAAATACTCAGACAGTATACTCCGGGTGATTTAACCGTACGGTCAGTAATTACATTACATTACATTACATTGCATTTAGCTGACGCTTTTATCCAAAGCGACTTACAATAAGTACATTCGACCAGGAAGACACAACCTTGAAGAAAACAGAATCATATAAGTACATCAGGTTTCATAGAGCCAAACATTTCAAGTGCTACTCAACTGGCTTTAGGTAAGCCAGTCCTTTATTAGTATAAAAGTGCTTCGTTAATAGTTTTTTTTTTTTTCTTTTAATGTTTAATTGACTGCACTGTAACTTTTATCCATGTATTTTTTCTTTTAATGTTTATTTTATTAGCTTTTCTTTTTAATGACTGATTTTAAATGCCATTTTCTTAATCTCTTTCATTTTTTGTAAAGCACTTTGAATTGCCTTGTGTTGAAAAGTGCTATATAAATAAACTTGCCTTGCCTTGCCTTGCCTAACGCTCGAAGTGGAGTCGAAAGAGATGAGTTTTCAGTTTGCGCCGGAAGATGTGCAAGCTATCTGCCGTCCTGATGTCAATGGGGAGCTCATTCCACCATCTTGGAGCCAGGACAGCAAACCCACGTGTTTTCGCCGATGGGAACTTGGGTCCCCCTCGCAGCGAGGGTGCAACGAGTCGTTTGGCTGATGCAGAGCGTAGTGCACGCGCTGGGGTGTACGGTTTAACCATGTCCTGGATGTAGGAAGGGCCAGATCCATTCGCAGCATGGTAAGCAAGTACCAGTGTCTTGAAGTGGATTCTAGCAGTTACCGGAAGCCAGTGAAGGGAGCGGAGGAGCGGAGTGGTGTGGGAGAATTTAGGAAGGTTGAAGACCAGACGAGCCGCTGCATTCTGGATGAGCTGCAGAGGTCGGATGACACATGCAGGTAGACCAGCCAGGAGGGAGTTGCAGTAGTCTAGGCGTGAGATGACGAGAGCCTGGACCAGAACCTGAGTCGCTTTCTGTGTCAGCTGGGGACGTATCTTCCTGATGTTGTAAAGCGTGTATCTGCAGCAACGGGTTGTAGCAGCGATGTTTGCAGTGAAGGACAGGTTGTTATCTAGGGTCACACCCAGATTCCTTGCAGTCTGAGTCGGGGAAACAACTGAGGTGCCGTAATTACAGTTGCCGTTCGTGTATTCTACCGAGCTACCATTAATAAGCTAGAAGCTCTAACCTAGAGATGTTATGAAAAACATTGTTTTCATGCCAGCTACAATGAATGACCGAACGTAGCAGACTAACTGTATAATATTGCAATTGTAAGATGTTCTTGCTAAGCCTAGACTAGCTGTTAAACTGCATATTAGGTTAGCATATTAGCTGGCAAGCTAACTGTGTTGATTACTGATAATCATAGCTGGAGAATTTCGTCTGCAAACACACACGAAATACTCATAGACAGTATACTCTGGCTGATTTAACGTACGGTCAGTCGCCAAACATAATTACATTGAAGTTGGCGGTCCTAGCAGCTATGCTACTGTGCTACAAAGAGTCTGAAATATTACGCTACATGGGAAAAGGTAGCAGACTATCTGTAGAACATTGTAATTGTAAAAGTGTTGCTTTTATGAAATTGACTGTTTTCCTCGGATACAAAATTAATTGTATGAATACTATGTGTATCTTTCTTAGAGTACATCACAGCAGGAACACAATACCCACCGCTCCAGTACAGTCGGATGTCAAACAGACCGTCCACAGACTGTTTGTGTGGGAACTCAGAGGGTTGAGACACGGTCTGTTGGAATGTAAAGTGTCCGCCATTTCTGTTACTACACAGTTGGCCCGGGGAACACTGAAATCGGCACACGTGAGAAGCAAAGGTAGACTATAACGCTGACAAATCACAGATACATTACCTTAATTGTGCTTTTATTACATGTACAGCACTTGGGCTCGACCAACAATCGTAGGATCCTGTAGGAGCCGCAAGCGATGCAAATAAACCTTACCTAAAAGGTGGTAAGTTCAATATTTCACTTCCTTCATAAGATCAACAATATAGAATGAAAATATAACATTGTTGTTATGGCAAATTATTGTTGTAATGTTCTAATGTGCTGGTGATTTACCTAATGTCTTTGTCATTTTACTCAAGGCTCAATAACACTCGCCAGAGTTGAAACGATACTCGCCAACAAGAGAGTTCTCAAAGATGTGCTAAAGCTAAGCCATCACTACCAGACCTCATCCCTGGAGTCCTTCCACAACTTAATTCTGCGTTTTACCCCAAAAAATGTGGTTTTCCCCTTCATTGGAATGTTGTGCAGGTAATACACTGTATACTTTATTCTGTAGCATCTTATAACACAGTCACTGTTTAGTGGCATGAGGGTTTTATTTTGTCATAACACAAAGTCTCATTTTATTTTGCTATTCTATAGGTTGTGTCTAGCAGCAATGCATCACAACGAGAATGCTGGGCGTGACCAAGCGACAACTGCTGCAGGAAAACTTGTCTTCAAATTGGCTTATCCAAAATCAAAGAGGGGAGAGTGTACGGTCAAGCCTGTTAAGAACGACCCTACATACAGTAAGTTGTGAAATATTTGTTTTTATTTTTATTATTATTAACAGAACTTACATTTCAAATGATTAAAGATACAATGAACAATAAAAGTATTACATTAAATACAAAAAGTGAATAACAATAACAAATACAATGCTTTCTTTTTCAGTCTATGTGGATGAGCTGACGAGGCTTGTGTTTCACAAAGTCTTTCTGGACCCTACACCCTTTGTGGACGAGCTGAAACGAATCCACGTCCCAGAGGACCTGTCAACTCAATTTGACAGGCCCCCCAAGGAGGAAATGATTGTCAGCTGTTTCTCCCGTTTCCCCCCAAAGGAGGTCGAAATCCTACATATTGTCCAGCCAGATCTGGAAACTCCTGGCGGATCCGGAGCACAACACACGACGGAATCACCACTCTGATGCCTCGCCCTAAATATCCCCAGCACCAGCTTACAAAGCTGCGATACGCAAAATATCGAAAACGCTTATCAGGAGAGGAATGGATGATGTACAGTGTATAAATATACATTCACACATTTTGTACATTTGTAAAAATAAAGTTTGATGGAAATACTTAGGAGCCTTTCTTTCCTGAATTATTTGCTCCGATAACATATCATTCATATATAGCAAACCATGATTTGATTTTTCATCAAACGGTAGTAGTTTATTACAGGTAACAATAACTTACTCTTCTTCCGTTGTATTTGTCAAAGGTCCGAAACTATATTTATAAATATTGTGGAGATTCTGCAGGGTGTATGGGTTCAAGCAGTTAGGCTCTAGTCCTGGGTGGTCAACCATGCAGTTAATGGGTTCTGGAACTTGCAGCATGCGTGTTACAACCTATGAAGGTAAGATGTGTTACAAAACACGTTTAGCAATTAAACCAACTATGGGAAAGGTTTACAAAATAAACATTCAATTACTAAGGAAGTAATAAAAGTGCATATAATAGTTTATTGACTTGAAAAATATGTATGCTGTATATGTGTGCTACTGTTGGTGTTTTCAGCTAGCTGCCGACATAATGTAACTAAGCTAGGCTACCTTTCTTATGCTATTGCAGCACACGTTTTCTCCGTCACTTGGCATCAAAGCGCAGTTTCCACAACGGCACCTAAATAACAACAGTTGTAGGTACATCTGATGACATCTGAAATGTAAGACATATACTAGATAAAAACGTACCACAATGACACTGTTTGGTCTGCTCTAGTGAACGGCGAGGCAAGACTCGCGATTTGGTCTATTCTAGGATCGAACTGAGGTTCGAAATTGTATGCTATATGTAAGCTATCTATTTATCTATATAACTATCGATTCTCAAATCTAGTATTGCTATGTTGCTAAGTACCCGCTAAACCACTTTACGGCAGATGTCAACAGGGGCAGAGCCTCTCTGGTGGTTGACTAATCAGAACAGAGTGGCAGAGCTGACCAATCGGAGCACACTGGACGCACAGGAGGGTGGGGGCAGGAACTCCATCGAGCCGTTTAGCACAGGGAGTGAAAACTCATACTAAGCAGAGATAATGTATGAGAAACCAATATGAGTTTGGAAAATTGCACAGTATTTTTCTATTGTAATATCCAGTGGTGTAGTGGGCGTTGGACGCGGGGGTACGCCGTACCCCCACTTATTTGGAGCATGATCTTTTTTTTAAGTCTAATAAATATAAAATCATTGCCAGTGTTATCAGTTGCAAGTGTGTATTTGTTGTAATAATGACGAAAACATAATACATTTCACAGTAATTATAATAAAAAATAAAAACGATTTCCTTAAAAAAGTATGATTCATCATCACGCTCGTGACCCCGCGGTCACTGACACACCCACGGCGAGCCAGCTCGCCGCGCCCGCCGATTTTGCGGCAGCTCTTTCCCTCAAGAACACTAACGAAAAAGCTCTATAATGGCAGGCTAACATGTTTTACTTGACTTATTTTCTAAAAAGAATATAATTCACAAGAAGAAAGAGGCTAGCAGCACCGAAGCTACAAGTGAAGCTGCTAGTAATACATCATCAGAAGAGCCGCCTAAAGACGTGGATAATGCTAGCTAACGTGCACGTTAGCTGCGCTAGCAACGTTCCCCTGGCTATCTCAAGCTCACCTTTCCCAGAGGTATGGACGGAGGAGATGTGGCGGAGGAAACAAGAGGAATACCCGTGGATAGACTGCAAAGCTGGGAAACTGGGCTGCAAAGTTTGTTCATCCATTTCGGATTTATCAGTCTTCAAAACCCAAGGTGTGTGTGTGTGTGTGTGTTTGAAAAGCAGCGCTGTCTGCTTATTTGCAATGTAGGCTAGGCCTAATCAGAATAATGTCAAGTCCAGATTCAATGTTGTTTGTGTAAAGGAATATTTTGGTCTTGTTAAAGTATATAGTGTTTAGTGATTTGTCCTCGGGAATCTGTTTAATGGTTAAAGTGTATTCCTGCCTGTAATGTGATCCATAGCTTCTCAGGAAGACACAGGTCAAGAGGTCATCTGATGTCTTGTGGGGGAGAAGCTTGGCTCATGTGGGTTTACAATGCAACGAGTCTTTGTCTCGACATCTGGCATGCATTAAAGGAAAACCCGCGTGTTTTAGGGCCCTCCTCTTCTCTTTGTATAGATGGGTGCTTGGCGCTTTTGGGGCAGAGTTTGCTGGGATCTTACATGAGAACTGTGATATGCTGTGAACTCTCCGGCCGTTCAGGCTCTCAATAAATATCAGTGTATTGACAGGCGAATCCAGTTTCCCTCATTTGATGATGCGCTCAACATTGCTGCAAAGAAGTTTTTACTTCACATTTTGGCATCACGAACAGTTACCAACAAATCGTCGAGCTGGTGAGTGTAATTTCAAATCTATATTTTGACATTGCCTCGCCAGACTCTGTGATTGACGGTATAAAATTACCTGTGGAACAGATAGATGCAATATTTTTGGTTTCCTCTGTGTGTGTGCACGGCAAATATTCGGAGAGACCTTAAAGAGGGCATCAGTAATGTGGAACTTCGGTTTAAAAGCAATGTAAAGATTTGTACTGAAACGAATCGCCGAATTCTGGAGATTTCAACGGTTTAACTAGTTAAATCCACTCGCCTCGAAATTTTCCTGTTGCTGCTGCGGGTGCAGGGTGTGGGTAATTCCCCTCCCCCCCCCCCCCTGTGGGGAGCAGCACACACGAGGATAAACAAAGCACAGTGTCGTATCTTCTTAAATCGCACCATTATGAGTTTTGGAACTAAACAGAACTCTTATTAACGGGAAACGTGATACGAAATATTACGTCACGCTGTGTTTCATAAACTGAGGGGTTGTTAAATTTGGCTGTTGTTAAAATAAAGGGTACTGAATTCATTAAAAGTCTCTGCTCTCCGGATCGGGGAGGGCAGAGCACCACTAAATTAGCATAGTGGTTGTTGATTGAGAATAATGTGGTTATTACTCTTCAGCAGATTCCGTTCTTAGAATTAATTTAATTAATTAATATCTCTGCTCTCGGTCGGTTGAGCAGTTTTACCACTACATTTGCATAGTGGTTTTGATTGAGAATAAGGTAGTTTATTGCTCATCAACAGAATTAATGTTTAACAACACAGACTTGTATTTTCTGTTAATCACACCATAAGCTCAAGAACTAAATTGAGCTATTAAATGGGAAGGGTGGTGGCAGAATATTACATTCACACTGTGTTTAATAAATTTACGGATTATTGAATTGGATTTTGTTTAAAAAAATAAAAATAAAAATAAAAACAATAAGTAAAAATAAGTACTGATATTTCCCTACCCCCGCTGAAGTTTCCCTAATTCGGATTAAAATTAAACTGGATGAGTTTAGCTGTCACCTGATATTTGTTGCGGGTTCATGTTTGTTTGTATAATTGTTTCGTGTTTGTTTGTATACCTGCCGTCTTGTGCATGCTTTCTAACAACTAATAAATGAATCAGTCCACAGCCAAGGTAAAATGAATCTAAATTTCCGCAAAAGGAAAATAAATAGCAAAAAAGCCTCTGTTTTACACCCGGGAACCTCAGAGGCATCACTGCGGGTCATCTGTCTGCTCAAATAGGTCAATGTTGTATTATTTGTTTCATTTATTCTTAATCTATGTATTGTATGGTAATAATGAAAATAAAATAACCTAATGCATTGAACACATTCCGAAACAAAGCAGATAAGACAAGACTTAGACACAATGGTGATTAAACCTTTTTGCACGATTGATGCAAAATGAAAACTTTGTCATTATCTGTTTCCAACTGGCCACTGGAATCAGATAATGGATATGAGTTGAAGTTCAATTACAGTTTTAAATATAGTTCAACATCCTTTTCTATACTCTGCTTGGTGCTGCAGAAGAAGAAAATAAAATAAAACGCAAGACCCGGGGTCAGAGACAGGCGTGACCTCTGGAAGGAGAAGATAATCTGAAGCAGACCACGGCGCGACCCATTGGGGGTTTTATGACCACAGCACAAAGAGGAACATCTAATTGCAGCAGTCAGTTTCTAATTTTGCCAGTACTGTTGAGCATTTTCAAAATGTATTTTCATGCCTCTGTGCATGGCTTAGTCTTTCTATCTGCATAGCCACTGGTGTAACTAAGTTCATAAACTTAACAAGTACTATACTTGGGCACAATTTTGAGATACTGGTATTTTATTTGAGTATTTAAATGTTTTGCCATTTTAGCCATCCGCTCCACTACAGTTCAGTGGTACATGGTGTATTTCTACTCCACTACATGTATTAATACCTTTTAGTTACTTTCAGATCTGGATGAATGATGTGAAATCTAATCAAGTGTTGAATCAGACTTTAGTTCCACCTGGAGTAAATCCACCAGCTACCCTGCAGTATACAAAGTCATTCAAACTAGCTGCACCTTCACCAGCTTTGAGAACACTTTCATGATCAATCATTATAAAACATATCATATATAGTATTCTGAAATAAACCAATCTGCACAGTGACTACTTCTACTGTCGCTATTTTCACTATATTTTGATGACAATACCTTTATACTTTTACTTGAGTAACATTTTGAATGCAGTACTTTTACTGTAACATAGTATTCCTACACTCTGGTACTTCTACGTTTACTCAAGAACAAGATCTGAGTACCTAAGCTAACGTTTGCCAGAAAAATTTTCAGTTCGCTTCAAGCTCTGCCGCTCCAACAGGGAGCTCTGCTCTGAACACCCCGTTCTAACAGCTGTTCTCCAGCGGTCCAGTCTGTGCCACAGTCACTCCGGACCACACAGCTAATATTAACGAACACATCCGTAGGCAGTAATGTACATGAACGCGTTCATATTTTGGGCGAACGTGAACTGAACGTACTGTATTTCCGCTAGATGAACGTAATTGAGAACGCGTTCATTCTCAGCGCTGTACATAACGGCGTTCAAGAGTGCGTTCATTCTCAGCACTGTATTATAACGGCGTGGTGTTGTTGCAGGAAGTCCCGACGGGGAATACTTTTGCGGTAGTACATCTCTATATACATCGATACAACATTACGTGTTGATAGAAATCATCACATAATGAAATAAGACCCCACGGTTTGATGATTGACAGGTGTGTGGGCTATCTTCCATTTTGACACACAGAACAAAGGGGGGCAATCCATCCGTATCCAAAAATGTAAAGTAATTCAAACAGACTCGTCCCTCTGTGAGGAGCAGCAGGTTCAGCTTCATTTAAATATGTCGTGCAGTAATAGATGGATTTAT